ACATCTCAAATATTGGGGAAAAGTAGTAATGATTTTAAATGACCACAGCAACAGCTAAAGTCATTAGGATGAAAAATCAGTATGGACCCCAGTAAGAGATACTGAACGGACCTATATTTCGAAATTCCAGAGGATAACACATTGCTAAGAAAAACCTAGCAGTAATACAAGTCCCATTAAGGCTGAAGTTCCAAAATATAAATCATTACCTAGAAAATACAGTCATCCTGAACAACTATTATTTATATTTAAACCAATATAAAAAAATGTAAGTTATTTGCTTGAATGTAAAGTAATATGTAGTTCAAGAAAATTCAATTACTTAAATATGAAAAGCAAAAGATTAAAGATAATCCCTTCCCTAGAGCAGCATTTTACATAAGGTTAGTTCTGGGTAGAAGCCAACTATTCCAACTGACACAGAGGAATTTGCCAGGAAATAGGGAGGATGGAGAAAAAGAGGGAAATCCCCACAATTTTGTCTACATTACATGGATTAGGAACATAGGTTTTAAAACTGGCACTATGCAGACGTCTCAACTGACTGAAAGGACATTTCTCAACTGTTAAGCAATAAAACCACAAAGATATGAAAAAACTCTCAAACAACAGAATGCAGTGGATTTTGGCAAAACCTACATTTTTACCTTGATAATTTTCTCTAAAATAGTTGCATCCCTCTCAGGATAATTCTTTGTCTCTCTGACTCATTAACAGATTAACTGTATTTAAGAAAAGAGCTGTCTTGTTACAGAAGCAGTGCTCTTGTATTCCCTAACGAATTTTACAAAAAGCAATAACAAAGGACTCATCTGTTGCTAAATAGAATCATTACTACTCTAAAAGTGACCTATTTTTTGTATCCTCTAAACATGAAACCTCAAACCATTAACAGCCCTTTGCATTTGCAATAAAGCAGTAAATTCTACTACTTTTGCCCACAGTGTTAACTGCTCTCTAAGGGGCAGAGAAAAGGGTTTTAAATTTTGTCTATATACTCCTGGATTAAACTACTAATTTTGAGTCTCCTGCCGAAAAGGCGGAAATGTTTAACTTCCAATTAAGCTTCCAAAACAACACAAACATTTTTCTTTATGTATTTGCAGCTATGAGAGAGAGGGCAGTATCAAACTGTTATCTTAATCTAGACTGAAAGTGTTTTCACTACTTTTTCCTGCAAGAATTGAAATTAAGTTATTTATAATATCATATTCAAACAAGTGAATGCCTGAGCAAATCTTTTCTTTAGTGGCAAAATTTAATTCTAAAATGTTAGGCAGCTGTCATTCATCATCTTCAAAATCAATTTATTTTTACTAGCTCATTAAACATACTAGGTGTAATTTAAAACTTTTTCTTGCAATTAATAAACAAGCAAGCTGAAAAAGCAATAGAACCAGTGCTACTGACAATATAAAACGTGTAAATGGAATCAGATTCTTTTCGTATTTTCCGTGGGATTCGACATTCAAATTACTTCAAATTTGAAGGTTTTTCTTAATCATTATAATTTCCCAGTGTCAGTTTTCTTCTGAAATCCATATTCAGCAATCATAGTACCACCTCTTTTTCCTCAGGGTGTCTCATATTTAAGGCTGAAACTGATCACAAAGGTAACTGAAAAATCTAGAATGGAATGACCACATTAAGGTCAATACTTACTGATGTTTACATGACCAAAATTTCAATCCTACTGTACCTACTCAAGCATAATTTCATGCTGTGCCTAGAGGATGAGCTATGTAGGAGACTGCAGGTATGCAGTTCTTTCACTTCCAGTAGCTTGATGACTTGCTTGGTAAGATCAACTAAAAGTCATCACCTGTATCCAGGGTATCCTTGGGGATTTCAAGAAACAGGTTGCTAATTCACATGGGTATACATGTATACCTGGTAGCTACAAATGATGAGGTAATAGACCGAGTAAATGGTACAGAAAATTCTCAGTGGCATCATTTCCACACCAAACCTTTGTAAAAGAAATACCATTCAGAAAAAGAAATGCCGTTCAGAACATATGTATATATACACACATAAAAAAGGTATAGAACATAAATGTATGGTTTGGTTGAAGAACAGTGGATGTAGCAAATAGCCTTGACTAGTTCACGTTTGGGAGGCCACAAGATATATTTGTGACAGAAAGGGTTTAGGAGCATTCAAGAGATAATTCAAGGAATCTGCAGCAAAAGACAAACACAGAAGCAAGACTATACTGAATATGGCAGCATGCAGCTACCAGGTGAGCCTACACTTCTCCCTCCAGAAGGACATACTATTGGTAATATGCATACGTTTATGCAAATGAGAAATAATCACGTTTTGTAGCTCACATCAGTCAGCCCATGTAAAAATGGAGGAAAATTAATCAGATCTGAGTTTCAAGGTACATAGAAATCAAGCAATTTAAACCATTATTTAAAAGCATATAAGCAAAAGCCCACCATGTTAAAGGACTTTACTCAATGTTACCACTCAGTGTTTTACATTAATATGGTATCTCATTCATTTTGAAGGACATGAGCTTTATTTTGCCAGACTCCTCGCCTAACAAAATTCAGCAACCTGTTACCGTTATTTTTTCTTTAATATAGCCACAAGCTAGAAGTATTAATTCTTTTGATTTATTTGTAAGTGCAAAACCCATCTCATACTTTATTATCCTGTTAGTGCTTTTCTCAGCCTATAGCATGAAAGTTATAAATTAGTTAATGCTCTGTCTGAACAGAAAGCAGATTGCATTCACACACTTGAAAGGGAAGGTCAGCTTTTCAGGCCTTCTACATATTCAAAACAAGTCTGTTTGGGCTTTTCAACACCAAGAGATGTAAGCCTTTCAGAGAAACTTTTAGGGACAAGACAGATATACATTATTTCTGCCAAGCTGATCAGATAAACTCCCAGGTCAGAAAGTCCACAGAGGCATGTAGAAAACTGCATGAGAAAGTATTCATTTCTTGGCTGGAAACTGGTGAGTTGGAGAAAAAGAAAAAAAATCATGCAGTCTGAAACATCCAGAAGACAAAAGGCAATGAAGCAATGTATTTTAGGAACGACTATATCCTATATTCAGGGAAAGAATTTGATCAAAACATGCCACATTTTGTTGTTCACACTTAGGCAACATTATTGTTTTGTTAACTCAAGAAACCCAAAATTAAAAGGCACAGAAAACTAGCAATAAAAAGGAAGCTTCCTATTTTAACCTTTTTCATCATTATTCCTCAACTCCAAATTCTCTGGTGGCATCACTTAAATTTATTACACCTTGTGGCTAAAACTTACCTATCCTATCCACTTTGTTGTTAACAAACATTAAAGCAATGGCTCACGAAGTTTTTCAGAATACAATCTCAATGTTTTATTTGCAAACACACTAAAAAGCCTCTTGCACTTTGTAAATGCAAATACAAAACGCTGCTTAATGCTTCTATTTCAATATAACTATAGTTGTAAGAGTTCTCTTCTTCAGAGGGCAACGGAGTCTACACATGCTACTTAATTTTGCTTTGTTTTCAAAGATTCTCTTCAGCAGACTGAAGATTCTCACACTAGCTCTCTCTCATCTCCAACACAGAACCTATTATTATCTAAAGGTACCAAAAAAAGGTTACCCACTTTTGTTATGGCTGTTTCAAAATAAAGATAGGCACTGTCATTAACACTAAAAATTTCACAGCATGAAGGCTTTCTTAACATCTCTATCGGTGACTTGGTAAAGGGGGCAAAATATACTCATGTAGTCTGCAAAAACAGTCAACTGGAAAGTGAAGCATCTGACACTTCAGAGCAAGCAGGGCTTGCAGGAGGGATGCAGGCAGTCTGGAAGAATGGGTTAACAGCAGTCTCATGAAGTAAAATGAGGGCAAATGCCAAACACCAAGAACTGCCCCAGCAAGGCAGGGCCCTGCAGCCAAGGGGCCAGGGCTGTAAAACAGCTCCAGAGCATGGCAGGGCATGGAGGGTGCAAGCTGAGCCAGGGCCCAGGCAGCAACTACGGCTATCAGTGTCCCAATTCTTGTCAGGTGGTCTCTGCCCTGGGAGCCAGGGGACGTCAGAACTATATCCTCTGCTTGGTTTTTGTCAGACCCTGTCTACATACTGCCTACAGTTTGGATCTCTAACACAAACGCCACTAACAAAGTGATGGGAGGTGAGAGGAGGTAACTGAGACAGTGAGAAGCAGCTACAGACCTAGGGCTGGCTCGGGACGAAGGAGGGATGGCTTCAGGAGCATCCAACAACTCCTCCATCCCCTCCCATCAGCCGGGAGACAGGCTCTTCACAGAGGTGTGTGGAAGGAGGCAAGAGGCAGCAGCCCAGCCATGAGACACATGAGAGGCTCAGGCCATGAAGATGGCCCCGCAGTGGAGCTGAGCCCAGGGAGAGTTTCACACCCCAGCAAGGAGGGGTCAAGTCCTGAGCAGACCTCACGGCTGAGCCTCTGATAGTCCCTGACAGAATGAATTATGCTGTCATTTTGTGAAACACTGCAGAACAGTTTCCACTAACAGACAAAGTATAAACCTAAAGGTTTGGCCTTTTGGACCCTCTCATCTCTCCAAATGCACATTTTTGAGAACTTTTGACTTTTTCACATAACTTAATTCTGGCAACACATAAAGAAGTCAGTACATTTTTCTGATTCAGACTGTGCAACATATTACATACATTTAAGTAGGTTTGTTTATAGACAGAGTTTTGACTTGTTCGACTGCTGAATTTATTCTGCTTAACATAGGACCATTTCTCTTTCAATGAAAGACATTTTATTTTCTTATTACTTCCATCACAGTATCATGTATTTAAGGAATGCACATGCTCATTTGTTCACCCATTCCACTTAAAGATGGATACTGAGCTCCTGCATGAAGTTTATCACAAGAACACAACCCTTAGTTTCACTGTTAGGTCAATCTTTCTCATTATACTAATCATGCACCAGCAACAAGCAGCAATATCTTTATTGTGATGGCTTTTGACACGGGTGCAGGACTCACCCCTCCTGCCTTTAGCAGCTTTCTTCTGAATTCCTCTGTCGGGTTGTTGAATGTGAGCTTTTCACAGCGGAGGTGATTTACAGGTGGGTGGCCTTCAAGGTGCAGGAATAAGTCATAGTCAAATCGAACTTTCTTAGGTTCTTCCTGAGGGTTGAAAATAACCAGATAGAAACATCTAGCACCAAAACTAACTAAGTTGAAAACAAAGGCTACATAAAGACTGTCAATTAAAATTACATAATTTTAAACCATCCTTTGTGTTCTCAGACACACATGGAATTTACCAAGTGTCAGCTGAGCTACAGTAAATCAGAGAATCAGAGAAGCTCCTACCAGCCCATGATAACACAAGGTAAAATGCATAAATTTCATGAAATCCTAACAATGCCTACTTGACACGGTAAAGTCATGTTTGGCCCATAGGAAAGTATCATGATTCAGCTGACACAAGGTAACTCAGTCAAAAACACAATCAATTTTTGAGCCCTAGAGAGAACCGAACACAGTGTAGTAAGTTTTGAACACAAATTTCTCCACTGTAGCCAAACAATTGATTTCTTCACAAGTTATAGAAATGGAGAAGTATGAAACTGCTGCAGCCAACTATATGTGATCTCCTACTTAAGAGGTCTGCTCATTTCTTAAAGAAACTTTATTGCCTTGAACAAGTGTGGTCAGATAGATTTCAAGTGTTTCACCAGAACTTTCAAGCAATTAAAATTCTCTGCCACAATAGTGAAAAAATGAAATTGAATGTTCCCTGTACCAATACGGAAAGAGAAATAACAGAAAAGGCAAATTTATCTTGGGAGAAATGACCAGTGTCACAGCGCTCTGAGAAAGCCTCAGCTGAAAAGAGACACTGGTTGCATCACACAGACTTCAGTATCTCCTATCTGGTATTACAAACTAAGTCCATTTTGTGTTACACATTTACACAGTCCCTTCTTGAAGCTGTATGTGCATTAGGTGCTTTTTTAAGATACTATTAAGTATCCTTTCCTCCAAAGGTCCTGATGTGCATGAAAGTCACCAAATTAAGCCTTCGGAAAGAACAAAAATAAAAACTCAACTTGGAAAAAAATTTCAGTAAAAAGGGAACCATGAGGGAAGAGAAGGAAGAGATATAGCAAAACCTTAGCACATATCCCACACTGCATGAAATCAAAATACATGTTCTGTTCAGTGACAGATGCTTTAGAAATTCACATTAACCATGATGAATTTTGAATCAGGATTCCAAGAATGGGAAAAACAGAAAGCATGGAAATCTCAGTTACTCTAAAAGTTAAATCAGAGGTTCAAAAAACACAGCCAAGGGACATCCTAAACTAGAGTCCCATCTCTAGACTTGGAACAGAAACAAAGGAGACCTAAAGTTGTCTGTTTCTGAAGACTAAAGAAAGCAGTTCCCCTAGATGAACTATTTTAACAGTTCTGTCATAGTTCACGGAAATAAATTAGAGAATTTTCAAAAGCAAACATGGATGATATTTCTTGTTGTTAGAAATATTGACATGTATATTTCCATACAGAAAAAAATGGAAGCAATTTATTCCCTGATTTGCTTAGAAAATTGCCATGTTGCTATAGGCAGCACACTGGTACCAGCAGCTTTGCCATAAAAGCCAAGTTGTAATAACTCATAAATGGTAGTCTTCAAACAATTTTGTGGAATATCAGATGAATGTAATCAGTGATTAAAAAGCAGAGTTACTACACAAAAGATCATCAGTACCACTGTACTGCCATGATTTCACAACAGGAGAGACAGAATGTGCTGCTGTTTATGAGACTTATCCTACACAAACTGCATTTTCCAGAGTAGAAGTCTTAGATCTAAAAGCATTTTTAAGGACTTGGTCTCAATGACTAACAGCCGTAACCTGCTCTTGCTGAATTTGGGAGCAGAGGTTGGTTGTAATTTCTGTAACTCTTTAAAGCTGTGAGTATTTTTAAATAGAAACACCCTTTATATTTTCCACCAATTTCTGTTTAGTCCTAGGAACAGGAACCCTTTAATCCTCTGTGGTCCAGGTGGTTTTCTGTTGCCCTCCTTTCTCTATCAATGAGAGTATTTTCTGAATCAGAAATTTAACAGCTGAACCAGAAATTCAACCTTTAATAAATGATGATGGTGTGTCTCCTCTTCCTCCTTCTCTCTATCTCCTCTTTTTCTGTATTGGAATGCCTGTGAACTGTGTTAGGGGGGGAAGAGCAGCTGATCCAGGAGAAAGTAGTAATTTGCCAGCTCAATTTTTGTGGCACTCTTCCTTTGTATTGCATCCACCCCAGGAGAAGTGCATGCTCCTGCAGCTGTGTGACGGACTAGCTGACTCACAGTCCAACTGCTGCTTGGTGTATTACATGACACCAAAAAGGGGTGAGGGATGTTTGCAAACTTCCTAATTCCACACATTGCTTGAGGGTAAGGCAAGCTGTAATCACTGCTGCCCTCCTGATCTCAGTCTAAGCCACAGTTTCTGCTGGGGAACACCAGAGACTTGCAGTCTCCACAGTCAGAAAAAGCAGCCACAATTCTGAGTGGAAAACAAAAAAAGAAATGTTGGGCAGGAAGCTTTCTGTAGAGGTGCTCAGTGATTGACTCACTGTCTTCCACTTTGTCTGTGCGATGAGCATTTAATAGATGAGTGAAGAGACTGGGCTGTTTTTCATTAAATTTCCAAAAAAGAATCAAAACAGCTTCCCTAATAGAAACAGGGCTAAAAAGTATACCAAAAAGTCCGATCAACTCACTGACACAGTTCTGTTTCATTTCCAACACCAAATAGGATAAATCAAGACCTGCTCTTCACAGATTGATACAGGGAACATGTCAGAATTACCTACTCAAAACCCACAACTTCCAAAGTGTCTGAACTTTTATACTTTAATTAGGGCTTTCTGTGAAAGATAAAAGAATACTGAATACATACTTGAAGGCACACATAAGTAACTCCAAAAGAAATTTTAAGCAACCAGGGTTCCAGAAATAGGTCTTTCACAATGCATTTCTATCTTCTTTGTTTTAGTCTTTTACCAAGCATTCAACACATTAAAGATATAATATTAACTTGATTAATATAATAATTTCAAACTACAGCTTGATAATATAAAATAAACACACAGGTATCCTTGAATTGCATTAAGTACCATAACAGCCTCACCAAGGCACATGACATATAAAGGGAATCTGAATAACTTTGGATATTAAGGTAGTGTACATTAAACTTTGCAATTAAATTTAATTTGCATTAAATTTTGCTCTTTAATTTCAAACAAATTCAGTTCTTTTTATCTGAAACAGTTATTAGTAATGCAGACCCCATTATGTACAATTAAAGAACACCTCTGTATTTGCTATTTGAGATACAATAAGTGCAGCAATTACTTAGATTTTGAGGTATCACAATAACATAAGTTTTGTAGAATGGCACTGGATTTGGTTTGAGCCTGGTAATGTTGAAGATAACGAGTACTCACATACAGTCTAAAAGAATGTTTAACAACCAAAGATGTAAGTTTGAAAAAAGACTGTTTTGAAAGATCAAAACCTGAGCTAATTATAAAGATTTGTAATACTAAAATAGAAAAATGAGTTCTAATTGTGTAATCAACAAACATAATCAAGACTGGTATCCATTTCTCAAGTTTAAGTGGGTCTTTAAGCATTAGTTAAAGTCTGTCCACTTTTTAGCAGGGCTAGTAACTTTTTGGAGTAATGACATGACACTTCTCTTTTTCAATAAGGCAATTTTAATTTCACAGAGTTAACTGTCCACCAAGAGTCAATATTGGGTGCAATATTTTGTAACTTCTCCATCAATGACGTGGATGAAGGGGCAGGTGCCTCCTCAGGCCGTTCATGGCTGACACAGAGCTGGGAGCAGTGGCC